GCAAGTTGCAGCTCGTCCCTAAAGTAAGATTTGGTGTTCAGGCCACGTGCAATATATCAATATGTAAATTAACTCATTTATTAACTGTCCTCGCACTACAGGCTCATATATAGCGTACTTATTTACGTGTGCTATAATTATTCTGTAATTAGCCTTCAGTTATTCTGTAATTAACGTTAATAGAGTTTAATGAAAGCTGCAGTTATCCGTTATAAACTCGTTGCTTACCGATTAGCCCGAACACGCCTAGATGCATCCCTTAGAGATGCAAGCCATAGTAGACGGATGCACAGTGGTCCTCGTATGCAAAACTTGCAGAAGTATGGCATCTTCGCGTAACATTGTGTGTGTAGGTGTATCCTGCACATTAAATAATTTATCGCAAATTATGAACTTTGAAAACTTGGAAAAAAAATCGTCTTATTAGATATACTCATGTTTTTTTGCTCGATGTTTATAATTTCTCATTTACAATAAAAATTTATAATTTTTTATTTACAATAAAAATATTTAAATGCTACGCGATTTTTATATATCTTTTTAAATGGTTGTAATTAATTTTTATTTTATAAAAAGAAACACAATGTATCCTAGAAAATGATTGTTATATTGTGCTTCTTTTTATATATAAAATTAAAATTATAATTACAATCATTTAAAATGTATATAAAAATTGCGTAGAATTTAAATATTTTATTTATTGTAAATAAGAAATTAATAAAACAAGATTTTATTATATTATATATTTGTAGATTTATTATCGTTATATCTTTTCGTTTATGTATATAGTAGTATACATGTATGTATATGTGTTTGTGTGTATGTGTATATATATATATATATATATTAAATTTTAACATTTTTTTATTAAGTATCATTTTTAATTGGACAATTTTGACATTAAATTTGTATATATATATATATATATATATATATATATATATATTTACATTCAATTAAAAAACACAGTTGTGATATTTGAGTGCAATATATACATAGAAAAATAAAAGATTCTCTATTTGTGCAATACATATATAATATGCAAATAAAAAAACAATAAAATTTTATCAAATTGAATACTTAAAACGTCGCTAGTGGTATTTAAAATAGGAATGATATATTAAATTTGACCCAAACTAGCCAAGAAATTTTTATTTTATTTGCACAACGTTTCGACCATCTGTTTTTGGTCCTTTTCAAGTGAAAAACTAGAACTATTTCAAATGTTTTTAAAAAATTCCGATAATCATATTGTTTAATAATCATGACAACAGTGTCAACTAACTGCGCTTTTAAGAAATATGTAAAAAATTTTTAATTTTTGCGTTTACCTTCAAAAATGTTTATTAATTAATCAATTGTACCGTTCTAGTTTTTCACTTGAAAAGGACCAAAAACAGATGGTCGAAACATTGTGGAAATAAAATAAAAATTTCTTGGCTAGTTTGAGTCGAATTTAATAAAATTTTAACCTAATAAAGCATTGATATGCAAATGATTTACGTACAAAGCACACATATATATACATGTCTTTTTCCGAAGATATATTTCTATATCAGACTTTAATTAAGGACTCTTAAATCTCAAATAGAGCTTTTTTCACACTAATGCTTACCTAATTAAGAGCAGAATTGAACTGGAAGAATTAATTGAACGCGAAGCGAAGCGCGCGCTTGTATTATCTAGTCTCTCGCAAAACGTGAAACTTTCAAATTTAAATCAAAATGGAACAGCACGCAAACGCGACATGTGCTGTCATCTATCGGTGTGTGCTATATAATTTTAGCCAAACTAGTCGGTACAATCATGTTGCTTCCCCTCCTTTCCTTACTCGCAAATATATTCACACGTCACAGAAAAGGTATGTAGTCTATGGTCGAAGAAAGAATATCAAGCGCATTGTGGCATATAAGCGAATTCCCTAGATGCCTTAGCAGCCAAACAGAAAACGAAGAAGAAGAAGGAAGAAAGAATTTACAGTAAGAAAAGAGTGATTAAGAAGGAGCTTTTAAATGGCTACGCTCGAGGATAAATCTATTTGGGAGGATGGCGAGGTACAAAACTGATTGTATTTTTTTCTTTTTAAAAGAATAAAATCCAACTAGAGAAAATTATTTAATACTCATAAGTACTGTGTTTTATAGGTTATAGCACTGAATGACAAGCATATCTAAGCATATATATATATACGTATACCGTGCTATATTTGTCAGCAATTAACGCAAATTAATTAACATTTTGATTTTCTATTTTATACATTTATGCTCTTTCAGTATAATTGAATCTAAAAGATTGATTATAATGAAAATATATTATTAACATTTTCCATTCTGCATTCATATTACAAGGAGAAATAACATTAGTCAAAATTGTTTATCATTTGTTTTCTTTCATCAAAATTTTGTGCTAAAAAATCTTCCCAAAATTATAAAGAGTAAGAATAAAATTTTATTTTAATTTAATTTGATTAATGTGTGTAATTGCATTTGATTTAAATTTACTCTGAATCGTAAGAGTATACCATTTCTAGATATAATAAAATTTTTGAGAATTGAAGATTGTAGATATTAACCATGAATATTTGTGTTGCAAATGTTGCGTATTCAGAAACACATTTGTTTTTCTTGTGTACAGTGATTATAAAAAATATAGTTGTCTAGATAACTTTATGTTTTATTTTAATTCTCTAAAATATATAATGTATTTATATATAAGTACAAAAGCATATATCCTTGTTACACATATAATACTTAATAACTGTTGTAACAAAGAATTCTATGAGAATGACTACGGCACTTTATTTTATAGGAGACACTGGGAGAAGATGTCCTGCGAATGTCCACGGACGAAATTGTATCACGTACGCGACTTCTGGATAACGAAATCAAGATAATGAAGAGCGAAGTGATGCGAATTTCGCATGAACTCCAGGCACAAAACGATAAGATCAAGGAAAATACAGAGAAGATCAAAGTGAACAAGACCCTACCGTATCTAGTGTCCAACGTCATCGAGTTGTTAGATGTCGACCCGCAGGACATGGGGGAGGAAGATGGGGCGGTGGTCGATTTAGATGCGCAGAGGAAGGGCAAGTGCGCAGTTATAAAGACGTCGACCCGTCAGACATACTTTCTACCTGTGATCGGCCTGGTTGACGCCGAATCACTCAAGCCAGGTGATTTGGTAGGCGTGAACAAAGATAGTTACCTCGTGCTGGAGACTCTGCCGGCCGAGTACGACGCCAGAGTCAAAGCCATGGAAGTAGACGAAAGACCTACAGAACAGTATTCGGATATCGGTGGACTGGACAAACAAATTCAAGAGTTAATAGAAGCCGTAGTATTGCCTATGACGCACAAGGAGAAATTCGAAAATCTAGGAATACAGCCTCCTAAGGGCGTTCTACTTTATGGCCCTCCTGGAACTGGAAAGACTTTGCTAGCTAGAGCCTGTGCCGCTCAAACAAAATCTACCTTCCTAAAACTGGCTGGTCCGCAACTAGTACAAATGTTCATTGGTGATGGCGCAAAATTAGTTAGAGACGCTTTCTCCTTGGCCAAGGAAAAAGCACCGGCGATAATATTCATCGATGAGCTAGATGCTATCGGTACAAAGCGTTTCGATTCGGAGAAAGCGGGTGACAGAGAGGTACAGCGCACTATGTTGGAGCTATTGAATCAATTGGATGGTTTTAGCTCGACCGCCGACATCAAAGTAATTGCCGCCACGAATAGAGTAGATATTTTAGATCCAGCCTTGTTGAGATCTGGACGCTTGGATAGGAAAATCGAATTCCCGCATCCCAATGAGGAAGCCAGAGCGCGCATCATGCAAATTCATTCGCGCAAAATGAATATGTCACCAGATGTGAATTTCGAGGAATTGTCCAGATCAACAGATGATTTTAATGGAGCGCAATGCAAAGCTGTTTGTGTAGAAGCAGTAAGTCTTTTTCACATATCGATCTAATTATACTAATAGTACAAATATAATTACTTATTCTCTTTAGAATCTAAAATTAAATAAAATATAAAACTTTTTATATCCAAATATAATATTAGTCTTATTTAATGATTAATCATTATTTGCATTCTTAATTATTTTATAACAATTAATATTGTTAATATTATACCATTTAAAAGTCATGATACTTGTTTAATTAACTTACGTCTTATTCTAATTCAATCTTTTCTACATATAACTGATCAAAATGATGTGTTTATAGGGTATGATAGCATTACGACGCAATGCAACAGAAGTGACTCACGAAGATTTGATGGAAGCTATCAACGAAGTTCAAGCGAAAAAGAAAGCAAATCTGAATTATTATGCTTAATATGCTCTGCCACTCATTAATTATTTATTAAGATACTTTTTGTATAATAAATATAGTAGAGAAAAAGTAATAAATATTGTCTCAATGCTTATAGATTTGTTAGCAAATATAAATTATATATATAAACGGCTAGATATAAGTATTTTTCTTTGGAAGTATATTCCGTTTGTAAAAAGAAATTTTAAAAAATTCTATGCTTATTTTACCGTTTTGTTTTTTTTGTATTTCTACAAATACATACATTATTCAATTATTTCACAATGGTTGAAGTCAAACGTATCAATTTACTTTTAATATGAAATACATATTACTTATTGAAATTTAAATATGTATTTCAAATTTTATCAATTAAAATTTTTATTGAATATTATTTATAATGCCACATTAATCATAAAAATAAAATTTTAATGATTAACACTTAAATGTCATTTACTATATATGCTTTATTAAAAAATTTATATAATGTATAAAATTAAAAACAAAAATTTGTCTATAGGAAATACTAATACTTGGATAAAGGAACTGTAAATTAAAATATCATTAATGATTAACATTTAAATGTCATTTACTATATATGCTTTATTGAAGAATTTATATAATGTATGAAATTAAAAACCAAAAAATTTGTCTATAGGAAATAATACTTGGATAAAGGAACTGTAAATTAAAATATCTGTACGAAATCTTTAATGTTTTCATATATACGATACATTATAGTTTATTTGTTCTATGCTTATCGCCTCCTATGACTTCTTTTCCTGATCCTATAAAATATGTATGTAAAAGAAATATTAATATATATAAAATTTAAAAATTTTGAGAAATTATTGTATGGGATTACTTACTTCTTTGGTCCTTTTACGAAGCACCAATCGACAGAAATAGCCTGACCTAAGATTTCTGTACCATTTAGAGCTTCTTTTGCAGCTTGTGCTTCCTTAAATGTTTCATATTCTACCAGTGCATAACCCTTCAGAAATCCTGTCCTTCTGTCCAAATTTAAGTGCAAGTTTTTTATCTGGCCAAATTCAGAGAATTTATCCTGAATATCATCCTCCTGTGCCTCTTCATGTACTGAATTTATGAACAAAATCCATCCTTCCACAGCTGAAAACATGAAGATAATAAGAATAAGAGTATATTGCATGTCTCGCAATTTAAAATGTTACAAAGAAAATATTCTTACATCTTTGAGGACCAGGCTCATTATCATCTTCTTCAACTACATTCATGGATTCATAATGACCAACGTCATCTCTTGTTGATACTAATTCCGCACCATGACCTCTGCCTTTTCTTCTCTTTGCCTTCTCCTTAAGACGAGCAATACCCTCTAAAAATGTCAAAGTAAAAATCTATACATTATAATTCGAATATCACGATATCATTTTATAAATATTTGCAAATATTTAATGAATTCAGCTGAGATTGAGAGAAAACTTGCAATCTTTTTCAATATAATTATAGCTTATTTTAAATTTTTATGCACGAGAAAGAAAGAGAAATATGATATTCGGCTTATTGCAAATAATAAAAATGCATAAATATATGAGGACAAAATACAATAGAAAAACATCGAAAAATACGAAAATAAGGTTATAAACTAAAATTGATGCTTGCAACACTCATAAAATTCTAAGACTTACGATCTCCTTCATCATCGACTTCAAACTCCTCCGCGTTATCAATGTCCAAAACATCCGCCATGGCTAATTAATATGTAAATATTTCTCTTTTATATCTTAATAAATAAGAGAATAGGATGACAAATTCTCTCCGAAAAATAAAACAATGATCTTCAAAGAGTATCACACATACACTAGAAAGCAGCCATTTTGGCGTCTGTGATGTGAGACTCTTCCTCGTTGCTGCCATCTACATTTTGAACGATTTTATAAACAGTACTAGGTATAATTTTATAAATTTTATAAACAGTAATATAACTATATTTATATATGTAAATAGTTCACAATAGAAACAAATAAAGGAATTAACAGTTTTCATATGCAATAAATTTTAAATATATTTATCATAATTAATACAAAAATATACATATATAACATAACATTAAAAATGTACGTATGTCATCCTTTATCAATATGTATTATTATAATTTAATTATTTACCGTATAATTAATTAATTATAAAATAAATAACTGTACAAATAATACAAATATATATATATATGTAAATGCGCAAATGTATATTTATAAAAATTATATAGAGATGTAATTTCTTTTCAAGTCTATACATAAAAGATTTTTTTAATAGCTTATTAATATTAAATAAATCGTGTTAATATTTTAAAAAATACAAAAATAAGCAATTTCTTTGTACTAATATTAATATATAATATTAATTATAATTATAAATATAATTATAAATATTTAAAATTATCGAATTAAATTATAATTACAATAATTATAAAAATATATCTTTATTTTTACAAATGTGTAAAAAAAAGTCTTGTATATATAAATTCGTATACATATACATTAAATTCTATTTTTATATTTCTAAAAATATAAAAATAAAATTTTAATGTATAATATAATATATATGTAATAATATAATATATATGTATATATATATATATATATATATATATATATATATATATATAAATATACTAATATACTTATATATATCGTCAAAGTTATCTACTAAATATCTATAAGTGATTTTCCTATATGTTATTTTTTATAAATGGCATTAAATATAATAAGCTTTTGTTAATATACGTACATCGTCAAAAATGTAAAATATTTTCATCGTCAAAAATGTAAAATATTTTCATCGTCAAAAATATAAAATATTTTATACAAGCAATTTCTTATATCTTCTTTGTAATAACTGCATTATATAGTCTAATATGCAGGATAATGAAATTTTATTTATAATTCAGTTTCTAGATAAGGACCTCTTTCTATCACTCGAAATTCTTGAAAATTTTTATATTTTTTATAAAATTGATATATACTGTAAATTATTAGAAATAAAAAGTAATTTATTATATTATATTTTTGATATAATGCTACTACTATTCTTATTAAAACAATTTATTAGTATTTTCACAATTATAAGTAAAATAATTTTGAAATTGATGAATAGAATTGTTTCATTATAATGTGATATATAAAAGTATTAAAACAGCTTAATCTTTAATTTAAAGATTATATTATCAATTTAAACTTTATAGAATTGCAATAAAATTAACTTTACCATAAAAATAAACAAAATTAGTTAAGAGAAACTTCATTGTTCTTCGCAAAACTAATTTTTTTATAAGAGTTTTGTTCTCAATTATAAGTAATTACAATTGACTTTTATTACTTCGCTAACAATAAATCAACTCCAAAATCTCAGCTAAGTTATCATTAAAATTAAAAATTAAAGATTTACGAGATATTATTTATATTAAGCTATATAAATACGAATTTGTGAAATCTTCATGAATATATATGTTTAATAAGTAAAAATCTAATGTGTATATAATAAATAAATGTAATAAATTAGTAAATTAATTAATCGAACGTACCTCATACTCCAAACTCTCATATATAATATTGCAGTAGCGACAACAAAACAGAAACAAAAAGAAATGCCAAGTAAAGCGATAACATGAACGATATACCAGTTATCCAGATCCCATAAATATAACATGAATATATAAAGGATTGTAATGAGACCGATAATTAAGCATCCAGTTAATATAAAATTAAAAATAAAAGACCAATAATTTTTCGACACAATTTTCTGCAATACTGTTATAATATATATTAGTATCATATACACACATTCAATAAAAATTAATAATTCTAGCAAAATTATTTATAATTATCAAAGAAATTAAAACATTGTTGAAATTATATGTTATCTTTATTTTATTTGTTTTTTTTTATCTATTTTCATTTATTTTATTATATATTATTTTTTATGCTAAAATTGGTTTATTGGACTGTTGTAATAAATTATAAATTAATCGTACAATATTGTATTAATTCTGTTACTATATATAACTAACAATAAGCTTTATGTTACTTTGGCATATGTATTTATGAACTTTGATTTTAACAATCTGCTTTTTCTAACTTGCTTATATTTCTGTGAGAATATAACATGTTTTTTGAGTTGCTAAATAATCTATGTTACAATAAAAAAATTAATGTTTTGTCTATCAACTTATATTCTGCTATTTTTTGCAAACTTTATACGATTATCAAATCTTTATGACTCACCGATAATAATGATATGTGCTTTAATTCTAATGGATAACGAACTCTACAATATGGACAGCAAAGGTTCTTGGACAGAAAATGTTTTTCGTTGTTTACAGATTTTTCTAGACATTTAACGTGTACAAATTTTGAATGATCCGTACATTTACATGGATGACACATGATCTTTGATTTATTCACACCTATTATAAATAGATTTACATGAATAATTGTTTTTTAAATAGTATAATAAAAATATATATGCGATCTTTTTAATAACTAGATTACGCGTGTATGTGCATGCCAGAATAAGTTTACAATATAAAAATACATAAAGAGATTTCAAAAGTTTTATTCCACAAATATCTTTTTAAAGAGCAGAATTTATCATTCGAATTATTAAAAAAAAAAAACTGCGTACCCTTCTTGCCAACGCAAATCCAGCATTTATAATTAATTGTAGGTTCCAACTTTACACGTTCCAATTTTTGCGAAGAATTCTGTACATCTCTAGAAATTTCGTTCAATTCAATCTCTTCCATTTTTAATTATATTATTAATTTATTGTGCAATAAAATCGATTATATAATCCACAGCAATAAATTATTATTGTAATGCAAAAAATCAATATCATCAACAAATTTTATAAATTTTTATCTGCACGTCGTCACTATATAGTTATTTTGTTAATACTGTTATCTTTGACATTGTTTTGATTTATTTATACTCTCCTAATAACAACAGCTATTTAAAATTTAGGATCTTGAGATCTAAAAATTCTAGAAAGCTACTTTTACTTTTATTGTATACATATTAACTTTCTTTTTGTTATCTATTTAAAAAATATACTTATAATCGTTGTTATCTAAAAGTACGCGCAATTTATATATTTTAAAAGAACAATTTTAAAAGGATGTGTATATGCAAGTGTATGTGTGAGTTATTTATACATATTTATTCTTGAATAGTGTCTTTATTTAGTAATCATAAGTTATGATAAAAATATAAAAATAAAATTATTATTTTTTATGTATGTATGTATATAAATCGTAAAAAAACACGAAAGTATCATGATACAAATTTTTACATTGTCAAAAACATAAAGAATGCACTTCTGTTATCTAATTTAATATTACAATCCGAATTTGTTTTATATTATAAAGAAAATAATATTATAATATTATAAAGAAAAGAACTTTATATGTATTGCATGTATAGTTTTGTATATTGTATAATTCTGCATTGAATATTTGTGAAAATATATAAAAAATGTAATTTTCTTTTATATTTGTATACAGCAAAAGAAATTTTAATAAATTGATATCATATTAAGTATCATATATTGCATTCAGATTTTTGAAAATATAAAAATAAATTTGTACTTATGTGCACATAAAGAAAACAATTATGCATATAAAAAGAGAAATTTTATATTAAAAAATTTATTTTTTATTTGATATACTACATTCGTGTTTCTGAAAAATATAAACATAAATACGTTTTTAATATATGAAAAAAATATCATATATGAACAATTTATTCATAATGTCATATTAGTAATCATATTATAGTCAATTATAATATAAGGATAGAAGTATAGAATATAGATATAAGTATAGAAACATTTTCTAATAGCCCACGATTTTTTCTTCTGTGACTTTTATTTCTCGATTCCTTCTATACCATAAGTGATAAGTTTTATTGATTTTGAAGATAGATAAAGGCTAAAATAAACAACTTATTTTGATTCATAGTGTGTAAACTGATACTATATGTACAGGTATGTACCTGTATGTATATATATGAAATATTTTGTGATTTCCACATCCACAATTAAATTACTTTTCATTAAATATAGTCATTTTATTGTAATAATATAGAAAGTCTCAAAGCATGTTAAGTAGTCTTCACGATAATTTTAACATAACACGTAATTTTAATGTAAATGATGAAGATTGTGTGATAATATTTTCAAGATTTTTTCCTAATAAAAGTAAATTATTTGTGTGTGTGTGTGTGTGTTTGGATTCGTCGCAACTTCATCACTTTATATTAAAATGACAAATCGTAAAAGTTTTATTAAAAATTCAACTAAAATAGCTAAAAATATAAAAAAATTATAATATAACTTAGTTAATTTGAACGTACCTTACAAGACATGTGAAAAATACTAATGCCTCCGTCAAAAATGGTATATAGCCATATATCACATTCATGCAAAAGATAATTATTAGTACGCAAAATATAACTGCAATCATCCAAATAGTAAATATTTTGGCTTCTTCGAGTGAACGAGATATATTAACGACCACGTAATTATTAATACGAAATATATTATAAAATAGAAAAATAGATAGATAGTATAATATCATCATGAATATTATGTGAAGAAAAGAATCACAAACTTTTTGAAACGTACTGAGCAATGCATCTGTGTTTCGGCACCACTGTCAAAAATTAAAATTATTTGTAACATTTAAATTAAATAACTGATAATTTTTGTAATAAAATCAAAACCAATATTGAATACTCTTAATTTTCAAATATTGTTAATATTGTCAAAATTAATATTTTCAGTTTACTGTTATTTTTATATTGTACTTTGCATGCATTTTATATATATATTATTTAATAAGTTTAATATTATCTTGTGTCCAAATCATTGATTCTAACTAAAATAAATGTAATTATTTAATAAATTATTTGTGTTATCAAAATGACTCCATATATCAAAAGAAATAAGTATAAAAGCGATAAAAGATAATAAATTTTTTTAAGTATAAATATATAATATTACTATAAATTCTCAATTTTGATAGAAAAAAATATATTAAATTAAGTATGAAATTCGATGTAATGTGAAGAACAATAATAATCTGATTTGTAACATTATTTTAGTAGGTTTGTGTGCTTATTCTTCTCGCGCTAAAATTCCGATTAAAATAAATTAAAGTAGCTTTATTTAAAGATGCTTATTCATTGTATTGAATAGTGCCATGATAAATTGTAAACTGTTTGCAAAAAATGATACACATTCTATTATAATATTTTTGCTGCAAATATTTATATATAAATTATAAAAACTATAATTTTTTTATATTTCATTGCTTTCATTACTATCCACTCATTTTGTGAAAACAATTTTTTTAAATTATAAAATAATTTATTGTAGAAAATGAAAAACTTTTCTCTTTTTCCAAAAACTATCACTTGTTCTCTCTATTCCTTATAAATATTTTATATTTGTCAATTTTTTCATGATTTACCTCCAATAGTGACTCGTTCTTCGATACTAATGGATAACGAGTTTTACAAATATCGCAGTAAAGATTGTTCGTAATATTTGCCGAATACTCTAAACAATGAATATGTATAAATTGTATAGAACCCGCACATTGACACGGACTTATGAGTCTTCCTTCGTTCTCACCTATAGTGTAAGCAAATTTATATATAATATTTTATTAGTAATGACTTTATATATATGTAACATTTGTTAAATAGAAATTAATTTCTTTTCTTGTTATTAAGTAAAACATTTTTAAATAATGATATTCGAAGATAGATAGATAGATAGAGAATTTAATGAAATAAAATGTTTTGTTAAAAAGAAAATATACCTTCATAGCAAACTCGACATATAGGTGCAGAGGAATTACTGTCCGTTCGTTTTAATGGAATCATTTTAGGAATCGATCAGTATATACTTTGAAAATTTCGCAAATTTAAAATCTAAATGTCGTAACAGCTGTTACTCTGTCAATTTACTGTTATCTTTAATATTATAAGGAAATATTTTGATGTATTTATATATATAAGGACGGTTCACACAAACAACAATAATTGCTCGGAACATGTAGCACTTTTATCCTTGAAAGTTTTAGTTTTTTTAATTGTTATGCATATTTAAATTTATATTAAACCTGTTATTCGTAGCATATGTAAACATGTAGTTTTTAATTTAATTACTCTAAATAAAGATATAAAAAGTTAATATTATATAACAATATTTTAATAAGTTAAATTATATTCAATTATTAAATATTATCTATTTTGATTGCACGCTTTATATACGCTATATATATACATTTTATAAATAATTAATAAAAATGACATGTTATATGAACACAATAATTTTTTATTTTATGTCATATGAATCAACGATTTTATTTCGGTATTTAATATTAGTCTCTTATTTTTCGTTTTATTTCGAAATCGATAAAGTCGATATATCGAATATATATCGATTTCATAATTTGATTGCCGATACTTTTCAGATTTCAGTTGTCACATACTATTTTCTTTCCAAACACATTAAAAATTCAAAATCTCCGTTTACATATGTCAAAATCAAATTAAAATCTATCGTTTCAACAAATAAAAACATGCATCTACCCAATACAAGTACAATAAATCATCTCTTAAATATAAATTTATTTGAAGTAATATGAAGAAATTATCGAGGTTTGTATCTAAAATTATAAAATATTTTATAAGAAATTAGTTTCTATAAAAGAATAAAAATTTAAGTATATAATATATATCAGAATAAATTTTTATCAAATCTTCTATTAATTCATTATTTTAATTATCGTTTTTTCCTTGTAGCCAAAATTCTATCTTGGCGATGATGCCAGTAATAAAGTGTTCAAATGAACGAGTGCTCGGCATGAGATTAACAAACGACAAAAAGGATGACGAGAAATCAGAAAAAAAATCAATTCTCGAGTCACATGGTTACACTCTCGGGAAGACTATAGGGGCCGGATCATATGCCACAGTCAAAGTAATTTCCAAGTCAATTGTATTCTCTTTTTTTTATCAAAATGTCAAATGCTTCTTTAATTCTAAATATTTTTTACTTACTCTTAGGTCGCAACGTCCAATCGGCATGATTGTCAAGTGGCGGTGAAAATAGTCTCGAAATTCCACGCGCCCGAAGATCACCTTACAAAATTCTTACCTCGTGAGATCGAAGTGGTCAAAGGATTAAAGCATCCAAATTTGATTCGTTTCTTGCAGGCCATTGAAACCACTCATCGGTTGGTTTGTGTTCCTGATATGTTTTACGTTGATTAATCATCGAATATTTGTAAGATGACTTCGACAAGGATAGGACGATTGACCGGAGTTTCACCAATTGTGAAATTTTGTTAATTTTTTTTGTTAATTCTGCTTTTTTACAGGGTGTATATTATCATGGAATACGCACAGAACGGCAGTTTGCTCGACGTAATACGTCGCGACATTTATATTGATGAACTACGTAGCCGCAAATGGTTTCGACAACTCTTGGAAGCTGTTGATTATTGCCACAATTGTGGCATAGTACACAGGTAAAAATAAATAAAATAAAAATAAAAAAGAAAATACAATTAATATCTTTTACAGAGATATAAAGTGCGATAATCTGCTTATGGATCATCATTTCAATATTAAATTGTCTGACTTTGGATTCGCGCGAGATCAAATTAAAACGAAGAATGGCCAGTGGCTCCTTAGTACAACATACTGCGGCAGTTTCGCTTATGCATCACCCGAAATTTTACGGGGTATTCCGTACCAGCCTCAATTATCCGATATATGGTCCATGGGAGTGGTGCTTTATACTATGGTGTACGGTCAGCTGCCGTTCGATGATACGAATCATGCGCAACTACTAAAGGTATTCAAGTATATCTCAGGACTGACATACCCAATCGAGCCAATTTTTTTGTTTATACTTATTTTGTTATAAGTACAATGTGTTTCCATAAACAAATTATCTATATTAAATAATTAAATATGCCATATATAATTTTTAAATCATATTACAAATAAAATTTAAATATTAATATAGAATATAAGCAGAAATAATAAATCTATGTAATAGAAATTAAAAGAAATTTTTTAAATAAATTATAAATAAGTTTAAATATATATATATATATATATAAATTATAAAATGTTTAAATAAATTAATAAATTTTCACCTATTTATTTTTTCCTTTAACGTAATCCTTTTCCTTTCTTCAGCAAGTTTGTCTTTTTTCACAAAACAAAGTGGGATTTCCTGAACAACCTAAAGTATCTCAATTATGTCGTTCTCTCATTAATCGTATATTAGTACCCCAATCAACACGATTGCGCATCAACAATATAAAAAGTGATGCCTGGCTAGAGACATCCGTCGTCGCTCAAACCTCGATCACTGATCAATTCGTTGTAAGAATTAATTGATAAAATTATATATTATACTTATACAAGTTTCATGGATTATACTTGATCGCATTTTATCACAGGAAATATCTGCAACACCAAAAAGTAAGGAATCCAAAATGTTCGATGTAGCATCAATTGTTCCAGTAATCTTTCAAAGGAATGAAAAACTTGAAGCCGAAACTATCCAAGATAATGTAAAAAAACAGATTTAAAACATGAAGCTATTACAATTAATAAAAACTATAAAATAATATAAAGAAACTATTAAAGTCATTAAAGCAGACTAAAAATGATTTGATGACATTTCTATGCTAGTATGGCACTTTTTTATTTTGGACTTTTTTAAATTAATAAATAATATTATATTTATATAGATATAAAGTAATATGTCACACTTTTAAACGATATTTTCAATTGGATTGAATAGTCTTATTTAAATTAAATATGCAGTACTGCACACAATTCATTATAAAGTAGATCTGTACTTAGCTACCATGAGTACTATTATCGTAGTAATTACAAATATACCCGGCGCAGTCGCTCTATGTATATCTTTTGTATCAACTGTAATTGAAATATTTGTCATTAAAAATCACTCATATAATAATATTCGTTCTAACACTCACTGCTCATTGCTTACCATCTGTTTCTGGAAGCAATTCCCATCCTAAGCTTCTATCAATAGCCATTTTCCACCGAGAATATAAAATATCACGTTCTAAAACATATATATTCAATTTATTTCCATTTACACCAGACATTTTAATATTTACTTTAAAGAAAAAAGATGATAATCACCATTTTCAGTTATTGATGGTAAGAAAATATCACTGGGAACAGCAGCATCAATCTTGACATCCCATTTGCGTATTCCTTCTGCGCTTCCTGCGGCAATTGCGACTCCAAGTGCAGTAGTTTCACACATCAGTGGCCTAACTTATAAAATTGGATATACTTGATTAACTTATTTATTATAAATTAATAAATTATTGCTATATTTTATATAACATATATATGAATTATTTGATACAATATCCTACTTACCTACTGGAATTCCACAGATATCGGCTTGCATTTGCATTAATAAATCATTAGTCGTCATTGCACCATCAACTAACAATTTTGATAACACCAAGCCAGTATCTTCTTTCATAGCTTCCAAAATATCTCTCGTTTGAAAGCATACTGCTTGCAAAGCTGCCTTTATAATATGTGCGCTATTAGTATCTTCGCTGATACCACATATAATACTGAAATCATTAATTTATAAAAATTAAAAAATTGCAGTGTAAAGCGATAAAATATATATTTCCATATTAATTAAATTAATAAACCTTCGCGCATCTTTTCTCCAATATGGAGCATACAGCCCAGCAAATGCTGGCACAAAGACAAGACGATTGTTCATTGGTATTTGTTCAACAATAGTTTCACAGTCTTTTACATTAATCAGTAATCCAAGATTATCCTTTAGCCATTGTATAACAGCACCTGCGATAGCAACAGATCCTTCAAGAGCATATACTGGAGAAGCATGTGCTCCTAATTGGTAAGCGACTGTTGTTAATAATCCATGTGATGAATCCACAATCTGAAACATCCAATACAACATACAATTATATTTATAAAACATACAATTATATTTAATTAAATTTAAACTAAACTCTTTTGTAATATTGTAATAATGTAAATAAAACTTAAATAAAATATTTCTTACAGATCTGCCAGTATTATAAAGAAGAAAGCAACCAGTGCCATAAGTACTTTTTGCCTGTCCTTGTTGTAGACACATTTGACCTACTAAAGCTGATTGTTGATCGCCTAAACACTGTAACAAATATAATTTACATTTTAATGCATTAAATCTTTTTTAACATTCTACACTTATTATTTTAAAACAAAGTAAAGTGTAATACTACAGAATTAAATTAATTTGGGATTGTATTATTTAATATTTTACATTATAAATAATTAAATAGTGCAAGAAATTACCCCTGATATAGGAACACCCTGTAGCAGTTCATCGTGTATATAACCATATATCTCGGAAGAACTCCGTATTTCAGGTAAAATTTCAGCAGGTATTTTGAAAAATGATAGTAGAGTGGGATCCCACTTCAAAGTTACAATATTCATTAACATGGTTCTCGAAGCATTTGTAACATCCGTACTATGAACACCCCCATTAGCACCACCAGTCAAATTCTAAAATTAAATTATAAAATTGACGCATTATTTAAATATAAATATTTTCTTCATAAGATTTTTATATAATTTCTTTGTAAACAAACCCAAATTAACCAGGAATCAATGGTGCCAAACATAAGACGTTTAGCTATTAGTGCTTCTTGAACTCGAGGTATATTTTCCAACAACCATTTCAACTTTAATGCACTAAAATAAGGGCTAATTGGTAAGCCACAAAGTGGTTTCAAGTAATCTTTATTTTGATTGCGTATATCCTTTAATATGTTGTCTACAATCGATGTGGTTCTCATATCCATCCATACTGTATTACATATAAAGATAATTAATGAATCATAAATTATTGCAAGTAGGAAATGTCTCATCTGCATAATATTTATATTTATAATGCAACTTACCTATGGCATTGTAAAGTGGTTCTCCTGTGATAGAATCCCATACAACTGTAGTTTCTCTTTGATTTGTTATACCAATTGCAACAATATCAGCTGGATCTATCGTTAGTTGTCTTAAATTGAATACAGTTTGTTTGAGACATTCTCTAACTGCTCTTAATATTTCTAAAGCATCTTGTTCAACCCATCCCTCTCTTGGGCATGTTTGCGATATGGAGACTTGATGGTATGTTAAGACTTCTGCTGTATTCGCTGCAAAAACCTGTATTATTGTAATAGAAGCAAAACTGTGTATATACATTTTTTAAATCTTATATTAAAAATGCATTAATAATACAAATCACTACCAAAAAAATTATTTGTGTAAGCAAGCACATAAAGAGTTTATGTATAATGTCATATTATTAAATTTAGACAATATATAATTGCTATTGTTTATATTTTAAACTTTAACTTTAAGATAATCAATTTATTTTCATTATACTTGTTAACTTATCATACATGTGACAATACTTATATGCTTTGGAGATTATGACAGATTCCTATAATCTCATTACGTGCGTGCTTACTGTTGTAATTATTGACATGTTATAAAAATTCTCGTACCAGAAATCTAGCACTGCTCGTGCCCTCGTCAATCGCACCAACGAGAGGCCCGTATCTGCTCATCGAATCATTTTTGTTCATTTTTGTTCATTTGAGCAAACGTGATAACACCTCGACACAAGCACGATTGTCGTACGAGATTTCACTCGAATTTACTATTTGTGCGATGATATCCTGAGCAACCAGCCTTTCAATCACAATCATTTGGATTAACTGAGGTTAATTATTTGTGTTGTCGTTACCCTGAAAAAATAATGATCAAATAAAAAAAAAAAGAGTACTTTGATCAATACAAATACACACACAACGAGATGTTCAGATAATTTAATTAAATTCAGATGACATACAGATGATTATTAATTCAAAGTGACTCGATGAACGACTTGTGTGTGTGTATAAAATAATATCTTTAAGAAAGGTTATAATATATGTAGGTTATATATGAAGAATATATGTATAAAAGATTATATCTTTTTTTTTAGATTAATATTTTTTGTATAATACACATTACCTAGCTTAATCAATATATTTTGATAATCAATAATAATCAATATTATTTTAATAATAATAAATAATCTCAGAGATATCATAAACAATTTATCTATCAATTATTAATAAAACATGAATAATTATAAATTTCATAAATATAAAAAATCCAACTTATTTTTATTCATAATTATTTGAATAAATCGAGAATTATTTTAAATTAAAAAAAATCTATTCCTATCAGCTGTAGTATATTTTCCATAAAATTAGCATTGCAAGGCACGCGAAAAAAATGAATATACAGACAAATAAAACATTATCGTCAGAATTATCATCAGAATGATTAGTAAAAAGGTACGGAACGTCTTGAACTTTATACGAAATGAATGAATGAAAATTCTTCCTTACATATTTCTCTCCTTCATTTTGATCAATATTCTCTCCATTCATTCAACGCATCGCCGCGCCGAGAGGAAACCGGAAGCGTGTCCCTTCGACGCGCTTCCGGCAGAGGGCGCCCCGCAACCTCCGCCGCGACATATGCGATATTCCGGATCCTTTCTGCGGCAAGGCGGCCTTCTGCCGAGGAGTAAAAGCGCGGCGCCGAATAAGACGCCGTCCAAGTAAGTCCCGCTCGCCATTTTGACAGTTCCCTCGCGAGCGTCGTCGCCCGGAGGAGGACCGCTCTTCTTCTCGCTGCCAATCGTCCGCATCCGGGAAACGAAAATTTCAAGTCAGTGCTGGCAACTTTTTGCGTTCTCGTTATCGTTCCGCCTCCTCTCTCTTATTACGCGTGTTTCGCGTGACGCATGTCATCGGGCGATGACGTTATATATTCGGCGATAAACGTGGCTGTCAAAAATATTTCTCCTCGAATTTTCTCGAGGATCACGTTCGACGTAAACGTCATCATCATGGCAGATCAGACAGCCAGGTTTAGCGCCGAATCGAACGACGCTGTCGATTCCGGACCTACTCGTAATTATATATTCATGCAAGCATGCCAACAAAGGCGTCTTGTGACATTCGCGTTCTAGCGCTAAACGCAAAATTCGAGATTCTAGGATTTATTCATTTATTACACGTGGAGAATGTGATGTAAAAATCGAACGGCCATTTTTAGCGCTAGAATACAGATGTACACGTCGACAAGGATGGGCATCATAACTCACTTCGCACTCCAGCCTGCCAATTATAAATATTTATGATTCCGTATTTAATAATTGGCGATTTCTAATTATCAATAAAGAAATCAATTATGATGATAAACATGAAATACTTCCCTTTATTTATATGCATGTTGAATCTATAATAAACATACAATTGTAAAAAATATCGCTATAAATAGCGATTATCAAATAATTAGAATAATAGATTTTTTAAACAATGAGTATCAGACTTCTATATAATTTATTAAATTTGATTTCAAAATAAAATATAACTTTTTCATATTTGAAAAGCTCACTTTCAAAATAATATTTAATATATTTAAGACTTATCACTAACAAGAGGTAAATTATAAATTATAGGAAAAAGATGACAGCTGATTCTGATAAGGATTCTACACACTGCTTAGTGTGCAATAGTAAAGTTGGAGTATCCACCAGAAATAGCTTGCGCATCTTCAATGATTCTTCCATCACTACATCGGAGAAGCCGCTTGCTGATGTTATAGCTACCGTTTTAGAAACAGATGTTAATGAGGAATCTGTTCATTCCCTTGTCATTTGTAAAAAATGTTTTAAATTATTCAATGAGGTAAAGCATTGCATCCATAATTTTATTAATACAGTTAATTTGATGAAAAATCTTATTACAGTTTTTTTCTGATTTATATAGGTGGATGAGCTTGAAACTAGATTGACAGAAATCAAGCTTGAATTATTTAACAATTATAAAAGAACAGTAAAGAAATTGTCCAACACATTTCATAATGAAGAAGAATATAATGACCATGATTATATAGACAATACAGAAAATCAAAACATTGTTGAAACAGAGGTAAAAAATGTTACATAAAACTTAAAAATGGCTTAAGCATAAAAATCAATTTGTTACTATATTATTATATATTAATATGTAATGTTTTATAATTGTATTAATGATATTTTCATAGGTAATCCAAACTGATAGCTATACAGCAGATGATACACCAGAAGAAGAAGAATTACTTGTAAATCCAGAAGAAATTATATTAGAAGCTGAAGACCCAAACGATTCAAATGAACCGAGCACAATAGAAAATTACAAAAAGAAATTGAAAAAAAGCAAAGTTAATATGAAAGTAGAACCTATTCAGGAACAAGTGTGTATGAAACAAAATTATTTTTTTGCAGTCGATTATAAATTAATTATTATGTATACACATAAATATATATATATATATATATATATATTTTTTTTTTTTTTTCCAGATTGTACTTAGAGAGGAATCTTCATACAGTTGCTTGTTATGTACAGATGAAAAGGAAAGAGTTACCGCAGATGCTAAAACTATTATAGCACATATGAAAGATGTACATGATGCTCGTTTATATATTTGTGATGTGTGCGGGCAGGATTTCAGAAAAAGAAACGAACTTTCCTTGCATCTTGATGATCACGTTGCAAAGGAGGAAGGGGATTTTCAATGTGAGATATGTAATAGAATATTTAGCAATTTACGATTATTCAGAATTCATAAAAGGATACATTATCCGCAAGTGAAGTCGTGGCCCTGTGAGGCATGTGGAAAGAGATACAGGTACAATATGTATTACATAATGAAAATAAAGTAAAATTATAAAATATAAATAAAATGTAAAACGATATTTTTCTGTTTCAGTTCCAAAAATCTATTAGAAGAACACATGAATACACATATGGGCGTACGTCCATACGTGTGCGAGGTATGCAATAAAAGTTTCGCATCCAAATACACATATAGAGCGCACGTAAAAACACACGAAGTGCGACCTCGTCCATTTGAGTGCACTCAATGCAATAAAACATTTTTGAATCAGCAAAATTTAAATCAACATGAACGAACACATAACGGCGTAAAGGAACATGTGTGTCACCAGTGTGGTAAGTCTCTTCTATATGTATCATTTAAACAATTTTTTTATCTTTAATATTTAATATTTTTTCTTATATAATTATCATGTTCTAATAATTAATATCCTGTTTTTTTTTTAATTAAAGGCAAGGCTTTTGGCTCACCTCACAATTTGGAAGTGCACAACATAGTGCATACCGGATTTAAACCTTATATATGTAGAATATGTAACAAAGCTTTCGCACGTAAAGCAGAAATACGTGATCATGAACGAACCCATACAGGCGAGAAACCGTATCAGTGCGAGTTCTGTGGAGCAACATTTAGGTGAGTATTCAGCAAAAGTTTAGAGAGAGTTATATCAATAGAGAGTTCACTATATGACTATATTCATTATTCACAATCGATGATTAAGATTTTTATTCTTGTATTCAGTCAGAGATCGAATCTGCAATCTCACAAGCGAGCAACGCATTATAATGATAAACGTTACAAGTGTGACAAATGTCAAAAAGGTTTCAAAAGAAGAAGATTGTTGGATTATCATACAAAAGCAGCCCACACTGGTGAAAGACCATACAAATGCGACGTATGTGCAGCTACATTCGTCTACCCTGAGCACTTCAAGAAACACAGACGCATACATACAGGCGAGAAACCGTATCTTTGTGAGGTACATCTTTTAAAATTATCATTAAAAACGATATTTTCTTTTAAGAATCGTTCAATTAAATTTTAATTTTTACACGTAGATATTTAATGGAAATGTATCTTTTCAGGTTTGTGGAAAAGCTTTTAATAGTAGGGATAATAGAAATGCACACAGATTTATTCATAGCGATAAAAAGCCATATGAATGTCTGGTATGTGGTTTGGGATTTATGAGAAAACCATTGCTTTATGCCCATATGCAAACTCAGGTAAAAAAAATTCCTTTTAATATGTACATGTATTTATATGTTTATTATTCACATTATTTTATTACCATATATTATAATGTATCAATGATTATTTGATGTATTAAATATTATCCATTATTAGGGCCATTTAAATGACACCATAGTAGTGAATCAACCAAGATTAACAACGGAAGATGAACAAGTAATAACGATTCCTAATAATGATGAATTATTAATGGAAGAAACTGAAACTGAACAGGTAAATTTGTTTTTCATACATGACATAATATATTGTGTAAGCCATGTCAATTCATTGCACAATATTACACATTTGCAAATAAAGAATGTAAAAAGAACTTATTTGTAATATATAATTTATACATTTATTATTTTTCTTTAGAAAAAGAATTTGTTTTTAATTTCAATGATAATTCAAGTGATTATTTTATTGTGCAAAATGTACATTTTAATATAGAAAATTTTATTATGTTAATACTATATTTGCTTGTTTAGCTAAATGAGGCCGGATTGTACGTAACTGAATTGAAGGATCACGTGATTATACAGCAAGAAGGAGAAGATCAAATATATAATGAAGAAGATGTATTGAATATACCTGCTGAAGAAACCGTAAATAGCGGAGTGAATCAACTCGTTGAGAATCAGGTAAGTTAACATTTCTCGAAAGCTCGCAATGATATCTATTTGTCGCATCAAATGCCGTGTTTTCTCTTATAGATGGATTTTGAGAGTGACGAGATAGAATGCAAAACTGAAGCTGTAGAACAAGTAGAAACGGTATACACTTATAACGAAAATGATGAAGATGAGACGATAGTTGTGCCCGCAACTAATTATAAAGAGCTGGTAGAAGATAGTAAAAACGTTCGACTAGTACAGATCAGATTTCCCTCGTCTGTAGATGGGGAGGGTAGAAGTTGGTTGAGCTTAGTACAAAATAATTGAACTTCTTCATTCTATCACAATCTTGCATAATTTTGTTGGAGCAAAATTAAGGTAGATATTCTGATTTAAAAAAAGAACGATATTTTATTTATACGTTCTAATATATAACATAAAAAGTTTATTAATTAAATTAATTATTTATTACACGCAAGCGCTATTTTAATTACACTGAATGTTTGGTATAATATTTTTGTCACAAATTTACATACAAAAGTTTAAATCAATATAAAAAAAACTAAGCATTATTTTCATGATACATAATTCTGAAAACATATATATAGAATGTGGCAAAATTAAAAAAATAACTCAAGATAAAATGACAAATGGCAAAGAAACTGAGATATAATCTGATTGTTCACTTTAATCGTTTGCAGTGTAATTCAGTTTAATCTATAGCATTATCTGCAAATAATAAGTTTTTATTGTTTAAAATCAGTAAAGTTTGTGTTTCTTTTTTTTATCACAATTTCTGATATGTGTATACACACACTTTAGTAATTAAGAATTATATGTGAATATAACGAATTTTTAAAACTGACTTTCTAATGTCTGAAATTACTTTAAGTATCCACCTTTCCAACTACTTCAAACCATTGGCGCAAAGCATCGCTCAGAACACCCGGTAATGAGTTTATGTCTCTAAGAATTATGTAGAATGGAAAGGGGAAATTATCCATGTACGATCGAAATCCCAAAAATTTGTTACCTTCAAATATAGGCGTACGAATATCCAATATAGAATCCTGTAAATAGAGATAAAATGTTTTAATATAATTATAATAGATTTTATATAATTATAAATAACTTTTTTAAATCTACCAATAATTAATTTTAATTATTAATGTATAGTGACGATTATTAATAAGATAACATTATTTTGTGAAATAAGATTAAAAATTACCTTATTAATTGGATTGTCGACTACTATAAATACTAGAAAGATATCTGCTAGTTTGGCTCTCCTTATGGCATTATTAACAATTTTTGTTCCTTCTGAAAATATTCCTCTGCCATCTGACAATACTACTAACAGCTTAGCACTGTCGGATGATGTACACTGATTTTCGAATATTTCCACAATAGAATTGACTAATTGGCCGACCATCGTTTTTCTTTGATCAAATCTCACTTCTTGTATTAATCTAAAAAAACGACAAAATAGAACATGAGATAAAATTATAATATTCTAATTATCATATATTGTTTCTAATTAAAACAAAATAAAATTGTCTTAATTAAATAAGATCAGAGCAAAACTGAGAGTATGGCTATTAAAAGATTGATTTTATTTATTTCCAATATATATATTTAGCTAATAATTTATTAAATATTTATATTAAATATACCTAGATCCAGTTTGTTCTGTGAAAGCTTCTCCCAAAGGATGTAACATCTTCACCTGTTCTCCGAAGCTTACGACACTAAGTTGCCCTACTTCTAGATACGTCATAGCTTTGCTAATTAAAGATAAGGATTCGAAGGCCAATTCTTTGGAATGATTATCGGCCATACTGCTGGAATCGTCCAATGCGAGAACAATCTGATAATCACGTTTGAAGGGCTTCGTGCGTCTGAGCCAGATTTTATCCTTGCGAAATTGGCTGGCTATGTACGGAATGATTTTTCGCATATTAATGCGTTTACCCGTCTTGTAATCGCCCCGTAATCTTGACGCCTGAGTAGGCTCCAGAACCAGTCGCAATTTCTCCGATAAGTCCCGAGCAGCTGTATCCGTGACCGAACACAAACAATTCCACGCGATTGCAGCTTCTTCGGTGGATGGTATCTGGGTCCATTCGGCTAACATTTTTTCTACCTCGAATCGTTTTCTCTCCGTATAACCAGAATCAAGATTGTTCTCATCCATATTCCATTCCATCGTATGAAATGTAGTTTCGTTCCCTCTTTGTATTTTCATAGTCTCTGCCGTTTCTCCTTCTAGCTCGACCGTCGTCTCCTGATTGTTCTCAATGTTGTTTCTTTTACTATCGAAATTTCTCTTGCGCTTATCATTCGGAGTCTCGGAAATATTTTCCGGTCTCTGTTCCTCTATTTTATTATCCGACACGTTATTCTCCTCGTCCTCGTGCATCTCCACGTCTGTGGCGTCGTCTTTTTTCTCTTCCTGATTCTCTTCTTTATCCATGTTAGAAGCTTGTTGTTTAACTTGATCCTCTGTCGCGGCATCGAGCGTGTAATCGTCAAACTTCTCGGAATCCTTTACGTGTTTGGCCATCTCGGCCTCGTCTCCCTCAGTGTTGCCCGGGTCATTCTCTGGCTCCTTCGATATTTCGTCCTGTGTGTAGATCGTTTTCAACTTCTTCAGCGCCGGCTGGAATTTATCCAGCAGACTGCGATCTTCGTGGCTCTTGCCTGGATTCTTTCTCTTCTCGATTGACTTTGTCATGATGTTCTTCTGCGAAGCTGGAATAGTTTCCTGCTTGGAAGATCCTGAATGCCCGCTTTCCTGCTGCGCCGACTCCGATTGGCCGGTACCATTATCCTTACTGTCCTCTTCAGTATTCTCCGCTGATGCTTCCTGCTGATCTTTGGCCTGATCCGATTGCTGCGCTACCGTATCTCGCGAGCCTTCCGTCGTTTCTTCAACTTGTTCTGCAGCGTCCATTTGCTTGCTAGCATCATCTGCACTTGGCGCTGCTGTCTCCTGCAGCTTCTCTTCAGCTTCTTCATCCCGATTTTGCTCTTCATCTTTGTTCTCGGTTTCCGCGTTCTTTTCGTTTGTCTCTTTAGTTTCCTGATTAGATTCGAGTTCTTCCTGCGTTTTTTGTCCATCCAAGTCCGTATTTTCGCCGTTCTCGTCTTCGCTAGACTCCTCTTCAGGGTCATTTTCCTTATTTTCCTCAGCTTCTTTCTCAAGTTCGTCATTCATTTTTTCCTGTGGCGGCTTGAAATCCTTCATCTCATCAATGTCGAACGGATTCTCTTCTTCGCCATTGTCTTCTTTATTTTCTTCGCCTTCGTCTAAATTAATATCTTCTGGTAGATCGAGTTGTTCGGGTTCCGGTTGAGGTTGAAATTTGCCGTGATAAGGATTAATCTGGTCTTCATCTATCTCTGGCTCGTTGAGTTCATTTATTTCCTTTTTATTTTCTTCTTCTCGATTTTTATTGTCGTTCGTGTCGTCGTCGTCATGCTGTTTTCTCTTTTTCTCGTCGTCTTTCGCGCCCATTTCCTTTTCACCGATTCGTTCACCTGTACCTTCCTCTTCATCATCGTTCTCCAGCTTCTCTTGATCATCCTCTTCGGATTCTTCATTATCATCACCCCATATTTCTTTATCAAGCTGTTCGGCGCCTTCTCCCGTCTCTCCCATTTCCTTATCCAAATCATTATTTTCATCATCATCACTCCGCTCTTCATCATCCTCGTCCTTCTCCATATCCTGAGGCTTACTGTCGAAATCCTCGGACATATCGATTCCTTTTTCCTCCTCCTTGCAAGTCTTATCATCTTGTTTTTCTTGCTCCTGATCCGCGGGTCTTGCATCCTCCAATTGATCCTCGGATTCTATTTGATCGGAAACATCTTTCGTTCCTTCACCGTCAGCTAAACCCATCCCGCCTTTACCCGTCTTCTCGCCTGATTCATCCGTTTCGCCTTCTTCAAGATCTAAATCCTTCGGCACGCAAAATCCATTTGCAGCCAGGTCCAGGAAGACATTTAATTGCAGGTACAGCATCTTACACGTGATGCGGAATGACGCCACTTGTTCATTTAAATAAAACTGGGCAAACAAGAGGTATTGTTCCAGCAGTGGTAAACATTTTAGAAGTAATCTGGAAAAAAATAAACGTCATTTATTGATATCAATTTATTTCGTAGAATTTACAATATACAATTTCATGTTGATAAAATTTAATTAATATTTTTTACATTTATAGATTTGAAAATAATATGATTCTTTTTTCAATAAAAGATTTCTCTGAGAATTATTAGATTTTAAAATTATTTATGGAAATGTTAAGTAATAAAATAATTCTTACCTGATACAATAATTTGCTGATTGTAGATCGAATTCTCGTATCGATAGTAGAAGACTGAAAAATGAATTGGATACTTTAGATAATTTCAATTCGGTTATATCCCGCTCGAGGAATTCAACAAGTCTCTCGTTCAATTCATTTTCATCTATTTCTTCCTCTTCGTCTTTATCGTTTTCATCATTTTCCTCACTCGGTTTCTGTGTCACAGTGTCGTTCAAATTACGATCCTTGTATTTCTTTTGTATGGTAAGTAATATCGTGTTAATTAAATGTTCCAGGGCCAATTCATATTTCTCGACAGCGTTACTGTCTTCCTTCAATTGTCCTTCAATTTCCACGGATTTTCCTAAATTTTCATCATAATTACGAAGGAAGCATTCCATTTTCATGTCCAAGAACGCGATATTTTCCCAGATTGGATGCATCACGTCCGAACTTCCAAACAATTGTTTCAGTTCTCTCGCTCGCGCTCGTAGATCTTCGATCGTTGCGTGGGATTGCTCCAAGAACTCAAAGTGCTTCGAACTTAGTAAAGCGTGGATAGAATCTTCGGAATGATCCGCCAATAATATTTCAAACGGAACAAATAAGGCGTGGAAGCGTTTCGCGGTCGTTTTTATTGATCTTAAACTGTCTTCTAGCAAAGTCGTCGCGCTCTTCCAAACTTCATCAGTCCGAGAGGCAGATATTATTGGAAGGGCGTTCGCGTTTAACGTGAGCACGGCTCTATTCGAATCCAGCGATTCCGCAGGACAGCATTGAAGGCACAGCAATAGCTGCTCGAATCCAGCTTCCAACGTTATCAGCAATGTCTTCAAGCTCCTCGCGCAGTCCTGGCCGTCGCGTTGCTTCGACACATTCAGATCCTGTTCGCGCATCTCGGACAGATTCGAGATCTGTATGCGTAGCGATGAGAACCGATCAAAGGACCTGGCTAACGTCGTCTTCTGTCTGTGAGCCATCAGCATCAGATGTGCGGAATATCCTCGGCAACGCTCCATATTTTGCGGCCCCAGGTCGGTCTGATTTGTGCTGAGCATCGCGTGGAGAGCGTTCAACCTGATGAGAGACTTGTAATAATACTTCTCGCAGCCCTGCCATTGTGCCAACATCTGCTGATCTATCGACCTCAACTTGAAGTACCGACCGATCGCGGACAGATCCAAGGGCGATACCGTATAGTCTATCACCTTGTCCGCATTGTTCTTCCACGTTAACGCGCCAGTACGATAGGACACACCCATTCGAGTCAACGACTTGAAGTAATTGGCGAGCGTCATTCTCTTCTGTTGCAAGATACTCTTCGCCTGAGACTTCTGTTTGCTCTTCGGCAAACTTCTGTCGATGTCCAGGTCCCGAAGACGCGCGCTCTGCTCCATGAAGCTCATGACGAAGTTCTCAAGATCAGACCGTATATGCGGATAAGAGCTCGCCTGGATTATTTTTTTACATAGATTCCTGGCCGTCTTCAGCAACGTGTCTGCTTTCGTGATATGTCCGCTTGTGAACCGTGTTTCTATCTCTATAGACTGCGGAGGTTTCTCTACGATAAACTCTTCAAGATTGAGTATGTACTTGTGATGATCTTGAGCGTCCCAGATGCCCTTGTTCATCTCTGTACTGTAAGATCCTGACTTGACGATCAGGCAAGAGGACACACTTTGTTTCAAGGCGTTCTGGAACTCCTTCGCATACTTGTGCAGAGTGCGATGCGTCTTGTCAACCGTCTCCTTCACCGCCCAGTAATTGATATCGTTCCATCGCGCGATTTTAACGTAGTCCTCCAGTTTCTTTTTGATGGGCGCTCTCAATGCAGCAATTCTCGCGTTCACATCGTCCACGAATTGTTTGTAATAATTGTACACATTCCACAGTACGGCTAAGAGTTCGTTCTTTACGTCACTGTCGTCGAAATAATATACGTGACAGTGGAACGTCCAGAGCAGATTCAATCGCGATTCGAACTCGACGAGGGATGACTCAGTCATGAAACGCTCCAGCGATTCCACCAAGCTTTCCCTAGTAACAGATTCGTCGTTTGATCTTGTGATGTAGCTCTCGATCAAAGCGTATAGGAAGAACCACCATTTAGATGTGTTGGATCTGAGATTCTCGTATGTAGCGTTGAGACAACCTTTCCAAGAAGACAGCTCCAGTTTTCTCCACGATATTATTTGCTGCGTCAACGCGGATATATAGTTTCCCATACTAACGCCGCTGTGCGCGTTATCCTCCCATTGCTTCATCTTGACAAGCAACAACTCGAGACCCGTCAGAAATCTGGAGACAGGCGACGTGATCGGGAATGTATAGATCCTCTCTATTATACAGCGTATCGATTTTAGACTGGGTTGCTCCGGCCACTCATCCAGCAGTTGATTGACGCGAATTAGAATCTTCTCGCACAACGGGAGACACTGTCTCGCTTCCTCTATGTTGCATTCCTTATAGAAATCGTACGCTTTTGTTTGCACTCCAGTGTTTTCGCGCAAAATTCGATCCGAGCTCTTTTCTTGGGTCGCTTGCAGTCCTAAAGTGACCAGGAGATTTAAACTGTTGTATAATTTCATCGCAAATTCTTCGTTTAAACTCGGTAGTACAAGGTCGAGCATTCCGTATACGGTATTATATCTCTGAATTAGAGGGTCGACATAATCCGTCGAGCGCACCGAAGTGGAACTGCTGCATATCCACTTGGACGCGATGAAGGATGTAACAATGTCTGAGTGGATCTCCTGAATTTCCTTGATATCGTCTTTGGTAATGAGACCGCTAAAGGTAGACTCCGAGTCGTTTGACTCGGTCTGCAACGCGTTATTCTGCTCGAGGGAAAACTGCGAGCCATCTTCTATGTCGTGAAAGTCTCTCTCGCGAGACGTAGGAAATAGTTTGTGGACTTCCAAAGCGAGTTCTTCCTCTTCGGTCAACGTATCACCGTGTCTTTCGATCTTGTTCTTGTACAGGCTGTCCCTCTCCGCGGCTCGTCTCTCCTCTTCCTGTTGTTGCTGTTTCCAAATTAGGACTATTTGCTGCAGCAACTCGTTCGCGTCCCGCCACAGCGACTTGGTCAGACCTCTGTTGAGAATCACATGATTGTGCAGTTCGTGCAAACCTGATTTAAATATCTGGAACTGCTCCTGCATCCTGACGAATGCATCCGAGTTTCCAACCAGATTTCTCGTGCTTCTGGAAATACACAAATCACTCAGGTTCAAAAGGCTCTCCTGTCCTTGGCCGATCGTCGGAAATCGGATCAAATTGTATATCAAGGCTTCCAGATCAGACACTTGGTTTGCACGCAGAGATATCCGTCGTCGTATTTCGTTGATCAATATATTAACGCCGTGACTTAACTGTGCCAAGGCCGCCAGTAGCGGAAGAATTACATCTGGATAAACCGACAAGTACTTTGCCTCGATTTGCTCGGCGAATCCCTGCACCGATAAACTCCAGATTTCCGCTTCGTCCAAAACAGTGTTGAAGCTCAAAAGATCGGCTGATTTGCATTCTTGACTGATCTCGCTCGCAATTGCGCACAGATTGTTCATGTGTTTCTCTACCACCTTATAGGAACCTATTTGATTCCTGAAATTAACACAGTCCTTACTGAGCAAAGCAAAATTGGCAGAAGGTGATCTGAAGGCTTTCAAACAGCTGAGTTTGTCTTTCGTCTTTAGTAAATTTTGCTCGCAATTTTTCGTAGCTACAAGTCTAGGATGAATGTGTTCAGTCTCTGTTGATAATCCTAAAATACGATTCTGTAATGATGTAACATATATCGTTCTTCTACAATCGGTGTAATCCTCTTCTAGGTACTTGACCTTCAGTTCTACCTTGTATACGGGATCAATCTGATCCAAATTTCCAAAAAGTAGAAGCTGAAGGTAACCGAGTAACATCCACGCTCTTCCTTGTCGAATTAGATTTTCTTTCTCATCAATACTTGTCTCGTCGATTTTATTTATCTCGTTGCACGCTTTATGGAATTCTTCTACCGGTTGAAGATAATCAGTTTGCAACTTGTTCTTTATGGCAGTCGCGTTACTTTCGCCTTCCTTCTTTATGACGTTCGCAATCAGATCAGATAGGTCGTTTTCGGCGTTCATTTTATCTATTGCGGATGAGTACAAGCATAAATAAAATTTCAACGTTATCAAGTCACTGCTGATTAAATAGTATTGTTTGTTTGTCAACGAAATGCTATTCCGCCATAAAATCTCATTCAGCAACTGCAGTTGATCCATTTGCGCTTTATATGTTCCAAGCGCGACCGTAGAAAGAATATTTTTTCTCTCCTTTTGTCCATTTATTTTATTTAACATTAATTGCAGCACTAAGTTTAGGAGAACGGCCCCGCCGAAGTAGCATTCAGTCTGTAAAAAAATATGAATAATTTAATGCAATATTTTTTTTAATTTCAATGACTTAAAAGTTTAAAGAAAAAAAAAATTCCATAAGGAATAACTACAAGTTAATTTAAAGGTAATTTTGAGAATTATTAAATTAATTAAACTATTATTATATTAATTTTATAAGTACTAATATATATGCAAACATTAATAATTTAATTACAGAAAAAATCTTACATTATTTCTGACAAAAATATAAATGACAAAATCAGAATAATAATTAATTTTGAAATTAATTTCAGAGTTTCCCCATTCTTTTCAAAGTTAAATTGAAAACAAGGTACATACCTTGCATTCGGCATAGGAAGTTAGTGATCTCTCCATATCCTCTTCCGTTATACCACGCCAGTGTAAAAAGCGGTTCGTACTCCTGACAGCGCGAGATTTCCGAGCGAATTGCGCGAGCCGGAAGAACAATTCCGGTAGTAACAGGAGCTTTTGCGGATGCTCAATCTCCGTCCGAGTCATCGCATTCAACAAGCCGATCAAGTCGCTCGGTATACCGGGTATATCTGCAAATCTCGCGAGACATTCCGTCAAGGTGGCAGCGGAAATCATTCCTTCCCGACACATCTCTGCCTGGAGAGTCCAGGCGAACGACATAAAAACATACTCGTGGATCGGCCACAATTGTATCCTCGCGTTCATCTGCGTCATTTCTTCTTTTGGAAGTAAATGCACTCTATTCAGAACGCTCTCGACTTCCGTGGAAACTCGGAGACGAATGTGACTCTCCTCGCAGAATTGCTCCACCTCGATGATACTCGTCTCCTCGATTGGTTTCCTCAGGTGAACATCGCTCCACAGGGAAATCATATGATGCCTCATCATCAATGCGTCCTTCAATTCCATAAATATGATTTTTAATTCTTGTTTCAAGAGAAGCATGCCTTCTTCGTTCCTTATGTTAAAATCATTCGTTAGTCTTCTTAGTTCCGAATGCACCTTCATGCAAACCTCTGAAGAGTGAGGTGGTGGAAGTGTTAAGTACTTTTTGACTCTCTTCGATATCTTTTTTATAGGATCGTACACCGAATCCAATTGATTGTTCACTTGGGATACGATCTCCCACAACTCGATCTCGCTCGCGGTCTTCTCATTCGGAAACTGTCCAGTTGTTGCGGACAATTTGCGCAGGAATTTTAACAGCCACTTATAATGGACCTTCAGCAACGAAGAGATTTGTTCTACATCCGTGAACCTGCTTGTAGAGTTTTTCAATCTTTTCTTGTTTATTAAAGTTGTTTCGCCCAGCTTCTCGAATCTCGTGTACCACTTCAATTCCCTTCTCAGTTCAACGTATTCTTCAGGATTCACGCTTATATCACTATCTCGTAGAATCATCGCGATATAAGAATTCGCTCGTTCAATGAATTGTGCGAAATATGTTATGAGCGGTTGGTTCTTCAATTGCGAGGATAGTTCACCTGTAAATATTAAATTGCTAGTCATTTTAATTTTATTAAATACTTTGGAATAAAAAGAATCAACTAAAAAATAAATAAATAAAAGGTAAATAATATTTATGAAAGAAGTACTCTTAAAAATAAAAATTATTTTAATTTATAGAATAAATTCACAGCATAAAATCAAAATAATTGTTTTTAAAGTTGTGACATTTTCCTATCCAAAACACCATCATCAATATGATTAATATATCGATAATATTTACCGTCATGTACAATACTGGAATATTGCTTGACAGATATCACATCTTTGTTCTGCAATATTTCCGCTTTCGTTACATCACTTTTGAATATCATACTGTGTGCATATAAAAGCAGTAACAATTTATTTGCATCATTGCAAGTGCTATCGTCCTCATCATGTGTCATTCTTCCAACCAGCTGCCAAAAATCCCAAGGTAAATTTTTTACCTGGTTTGGAGAACGAAAGCGAAACAATGCAATTACATTTGCCATTAGTGCACTCTGCTTCTTAAGTTCGTCAAATATTGCATTTCCTCGCAACATCTTCGAGATCCATTTCTTCCTAAGTAGTGCATCGTCTTGCGAGGATTGTTCGTAAAAATGCAACAGGAAATACGGCAATGTCTCGGTAACGCCAACGTTCAATATATATTCCTCTTCGTCTTTAAGACCGCAAAATTTATTAAATAACTTTGATGCAACAATATTTCTTTCATTTCTAGAATTTGCACCTAATTCGTACAGTTTGACAACCGCCTTTAACAATAAACTCTGTTGTCTGATTATAGCGAGTCTCGAATTGTCCTGCAGATTTTTCACGCTCCACGTGGCGGCCTCCAAATCGATTAACGAGATATCTTGATTGTCCGCGACACCATGTCGCTCGATAATTTCGTCGATCAAAGAAATCAGATGTTCTCTGAATTGCGGATCGCGCATCGGTCTAGCTTTTATATAAACGTCAATGCAAGCGTTTCTGATCGATCGCTCCGCCGAGAATCCGCGAAGCAATCGTTGCTTCGCCAGGAACGCGGTGTGTAACAAATCGACGACGCTGAATCGGTCCACTGCGATCACATCTTTCGACATCGTCTCGTAAATCTTGAGCAATGCATCGCGATGCGTCGATTTCGCGATACCAGCATTGAATAATAGCGATTTCAGATCTATTGCGTCATCGTAGATGTTTTCCTTCGGACCAAACATGTAAATTTCCACCCCTCTATTACGCATGGCCCTAAAATGATGATAAATAGATGGAAAATTTTAAATTTTACTACAATCGTTTTATTAACAATTAATTGTAATTTTGATTTTTTTATCGTAACGGTATATAATAATTTTAGCGAATAACGTATTTTTTGAGTGTTATAATAAAGTTGTCATCTCACAACTTTTTTTTTATTTCATCTATATTGATAAATATGATATAATAAATATCGGTCTATAAATTGATATGTTTTCGGAATCGAATAATAAGTGAATTTTATGATTTTTACGCGCGATTGAGTATCATGTAAAAAATATGATTAAAGTGTTAACAAATATCGAGAGAGAAATTACCTGGAAATTTCACCGTATCGAGGATCCATAGTTAAAAATAGACGAAAATTTTCGTGCGGCTTAATGGTGATGACATTGCCTTCACTATCAACACCTCGTTCACCGATACTGAGAACACCGTTTGGTTCCAACAGACCATTAAGTCTGTCTAATACAGCGGGGCTGCATAAATTAACTTGGTCGATGAGCAGCCAAGTACCATCTTGCAAGCACTAAAAGATGATTTCGTAATTATACTGTTTTAAATATACGTTTCGTTGAGATCAAAAGATAAAACTCTACAATATTAATATAATTCTTTCTAGAGCAGGTACAATAGTTAATTTTATATACACATATATATGTAAATATTTAAATATTTTTGATTTATAGAATAATTAATATATTTTTATTCTTTTATTTAAAGATTTTTTTTAAGATACTCTATATTTATATTTTATTTTAGTTTCTCGATGCAATTAAAATTTTTAATAAAAATTATGAAAAAGCGGAAAATTAAAAGTTTCTTTGTGTAATATATGTATATTACACATATATACTGTACAAAGTTATATGTATATAGACGGAAAATATAAAAATGTGAATAAAATATTTTATATAGACGTAGAAATAGCTATATATAAAATATTAAAGTGTCACATTTCACAATTGCAATAAGAATGAAGTAGCTTTACGTGTTGGAAAAGTTTTGGAAGTCGCAATTTTTGACTCTATTAAAACTTCAGCAACACTTATACATTGTCGTGTGTCAAGGGTAAAATATTGAGAAAGGCAAAGTAAAGTTCAAAGTGGTGCAACTTTGTCGTTACCGCGATATGTAAAATATGAAAAGCATCATAAAGAATACCGTAAATAAAAGTTGCCTAAATCAAGCTCGGGGAATATCAAATATAATAACGAACACAAAGCAAAAAATTTCTTGTCAAAATTTTTATAAAACGTTCGTATATCTCAACGCGTAAAATATTCACAAATCTCGATAATGGAAATGCAAGTCTTTTAAATGGCAAAACAAACTATAAGAGTAAGTGTGTGTATCGTTGATAAAATACCTTTACTAATATACTATCCACCCATTCGAATTTTCCGCCAGCATTCAGACATTTATCCTTCTTGACGAAAATCGACAAATTTTCCAATTTAAACTCGATATCTCGTAATTTCGATTCGTGGGCAAGTTCCCAAAATTTCATCGCTGATATCAATTTTGATAATTCCTCGATTTTATTTAAAAATAGTTCGCTTTCCGCTGCCATTGTCTTCCCGGTGACATTTTCATCTGACAACAAACGGATGTTATAAGATTAATTATTGTCTGTAAAAAAGATGAGCTTTTCCTTTCTTGTCAAAAAGAAAATCTCATCCTGACAGCTCGTTTCATTTACCGAATAAATCTCGCACTTGTTCCAAATGCTTATGCAGCTCGATAACTTGCTTCAAATTATCGATGGTTATCTTCGTTCGCAGACTATCGATGAGTAAAGCTGTAACACGTTCGAATAATTGCTCGAGATGTCGATTGTAATCCGTCTGAAAAATAATAAAAAATGTTTGGTTCCATAAATTATGTTTAAGTTATAATAGAGAATATAGAATTCTTTTTTTATTTTAATTTAAATTTATTTTAAATATTAGAATTCAACTCGTTAAATAGACTGCAGTAGATCACAATTTGTTATTCATGCGAGAGTTTCTCTGAAATCTCTTTTGCCTTGATATTTTTCTCTAAATCACATTCAAAATCAATAAGTCGTTTACTTAATGATTGTAAATTCAGAAAAATATGTGTAGAAATATTGTGAGATATTGAAGAAAAAAAAAGAAAAAATCTTATTCTATTATTATAATCAACAAAATACCTTAACACAATTATAAGACGTAATACGACAAATTTACATATAGAAAAATTAAAATATTTTTTTTTCAAGATTAATAATTTGCTTAAGAAAAATGTATTAAATTATATATAAATATCTAGTAAGAAATTAAGATTTATACGAAATATAGCATACAATAATATAATATATTTATGAAAATCTCTCCTCCAATTTTAAAGTCGACCAGACTGGCAATAATTTATTTTAAATAATTAGTTTAATTTACAACGTTTCGGCTGTCATTGCAGCCCTTTTCAAGTAATCAGATTAATACAATAAATCATATTTACAGCAAACCCCCGACAAAATTCACCATTGTTTTGATGAACAATGTATAACTGATTATACAAACAATGGTGAATTTTGTCGGGGTTTGCTGTAAATATGATTTATTGTATTAATCTGATTACTTGAAAAGGGCTGCAATGACAGCCGAAACGTTGTAAATTAAACTAATTATTTAAAATAAATTATTGCCAGTCTGGTCGACTTTAAAATTGGAGGAGAGATTTTCATTATTTATTACTGGCGACTCTTAAGGATTATCATTTAATATATTTATGTTATTAAAATATATTCTTTCTCTCTTTCTATTTCATTCTTATTCTCTTTTGACCTAGAAAATTGAATTGCAATCGACGAACAGATCGTTGAAGATGTTACAGTCTTGCAAAACTCGTCGAATAATTGCAAGAATGGCGATAAAATATCGACCGAAAGAATATATTTAGAATACGTATAGTAAATAAGTCGGCATATCGAGGAACAAAAATCAACCACCGAGAAAATTCTGTATCGTCGCATTTGCTAGCATTTCATACGTTCGTATACACATATTGTACATATGTACATATGTACATATCGCTATATGTATCGTTATATTTTGCATCTTGCGCTGCAAATGTAATCGAACAAATTTTTGCGTGGTCGTTCATCCTCTCATGCATATGCACGCGTGACACTCTTTCCAATCGTGGCTTTCAAATTTTTCGCGTATGAGAATTTAAGAATATTAAAATTTCGTTAGAGTATTTCGCAAATATTATACGCAAGTAAAATACGTGAAATAAAAACCTAAACTACACTGAAAAAAATCCATGTACTTTTACATAGAAATTACTTGTTCAAAACTGGAAAAATTACTTAATTATCACTGTAATTTTTTTCCCATATTTTTTACAGTGAAAATATAGGTCAAAATTACTATTTTTATGCAAAAATCATATGTAATTTTAAATTTAGCGTTTACTTTATTAAAACTTTATTTTATAAGCATTCATCTATTTTATTTATAACATTATTTTATAGCATTTATGCATGTAATTTTATACAAATATTTTTTTTCAGTCTATAATCTATACAACAGAATAACCATATTCATGTAATAATTGAGTAATTTAATTATTCCGAAAATGTTACAGATGTTAATATACTCAAAGCCAAAACTATCGATTAATATGTTGTGACGATAATTATGTGTAAAGTTATAGTTCAGAGTAGGATGTAAATTTAAAGGGGAAACTATGTAATTACCTAGTTAGCTTATAGGGAGTATATAGAGTATTTTCAAAATTAATTTATTATGAATGAACAGTAAGAGAGTTTACGATTTTCGAGAAAATTTCGATGCCAAAGAGAGTTGTCAGAATCGCGCGAAGTACATAATGATATACATAATGATTTAAAGAACACGCTATATAATAATTAGCATGGAAAATTATGCGCATAATAGAGTTTGGTGTAAAATATTCAGACGCAAGATTACAACAATATAGATTATACGCAATTCTGCATAGTTAACAACTTTAGCAGCTTACGAACCAAATGCGAGTTTTACTACAAGAAGTTTGTAAAGTCTTTGCTTTGTGCATGATACCTTGTAGGAACTTTGTAGGATCGACCGCAGCTGATTGAAAACTTCATCGTAAATGAAGGCAGGGAATGAAGCATGTATATGTGTAAAATAAATTTTACTGTTTCGTAATCCTTTTAAATATTATCATACAGCAAAATAAGTAATTATCTTTATATCTTAAAATTAATTAGACCATATTTTACCAAACTGTAAAACTTTGATCGCAGAGTACCGATTTTGATTAATACGTGACAATTAATAATCATGATCGCACGTTTACGCGCAAAATTCTGGATTGGATTTTTTTTTTTTCCATTGCGAGATTAAGAATTCAATATTCATTCCCAGCCGACTCGATGTCTTTCGTCAACAATGAAGTCGCTATCGTATTTTAAGAAGCCGGCGCATTAATTCTGCGACGCGTCTTCGTAATCGGCGAGACGGACGTCATCGAGGATTATCTAGCCGGATAATCCTCTGGGCGAATCGAAGGGCGCGCGCCCAAAAATATCAGACACGAATCAGTGATTGATGCCGGTCTAATATGGATTTTCACGTACCAGTGTAACCGGCCGATAACCTCTCGAAGTCGTTCCCCCCATTTTTCACAAAAAAATCCGTCAAAAATTAATGCGATCTGACAGGACGTTTGCCTCGCCGCAGGCGAAATCGCTGCCAACGGAATTATGGAGCAGTTTAATCTGGCCAAGCAAATAAATTGATTGCGAGTAAATATTCGTCATGCTTAATTGCGGATAATCGATCGTCATTCGTGTAATTATTCTCGATTAAGTTCAGAAATTTAATTAAATCGACGCTCTTTCCAAAATTAGAATTTCTTCTTTCAATATATATGTAGGTACATCGCTTAATCTTTCATTATTTTTATTATGAGTGACGAAAAATAACGAATCTCGCGTTGCTGTGAATTTTAATTGGATATAATGCCGATTAAGAAAATGAATATTGTATACACTATTTGTATTTTTGGTTGCTTGTTTCAAAAACACAGATTTTCTTCATTTTAATAAATAATTCTCTATTTTTAAATACACATTTTTTTTATTAAAAGTTAAAATAATTTATTTAAAAAATTTTATTTAATATAATAATACATTTTTTGTAAACAAAGTAATTATTTATTTAAGTAAAAAAATCATAATTACAAAATATATTTATTTGGTTGAAAAAAATGTGAATTTTTAGTGTATATGTGTGCATTTACGAATGGTTATGTATTCGTTCGAGGTGCCAGTATATTATATATTTGGAATGAAAGTTATGAAAATGTTCTCGCGAGGGATATTCTGTACAGATGCGAATTTACTATCGTGGTTCGCCCTCGTTATACTTTTATTCCCACAGAAAACGACATCGTCGAGCACGCGAAATTGCTAAATGTGTTTTCTGCGTGAGCAATACAAATTATAAAAAATGAATGCAATCTTCAGGAGAAATTGGTCACTACGGAAATATCTCACGAGAACTTGCCCCGTGATCTTTTCATCTCGCAATATATATATATGTACCCGTTCAATTTATTTACGCGGAAATATTACGGAAATATAACGAGTGTTTTTTTTTTTACTCGAATATTATAATTTTCGTTTTTTCAATACACTGGTATAAGAATAATTGTGATGTAAAACGCGTCGATCGTGTCAAATATTTTCCAGAAAAAAATAGAGGAGAATCCGCATAGAAATGGTATGTGCCACACACTCTGTACATTACGCGCGCGTTAAATATTTATTGCATTCGTATACAGAAACCTCGAAACTTGAAACGACGCCATGAATTCATCTCTCGTGTGTTACGTAGCGAGAAAACTCAATATCGAATTTCTCCGACCGCGCTTTTCGGCGCAAACTTTACCGCCGGATTTCTTGCGTGGAAAGTGCCACAAATTTTTTAAATTCAAGGAGGATAAAAAGCAAGGCAACATTCCTCACCAAGAAGTTGCGATCAAAATTCTATATATACATGTCGAAAAATAAATGGTTGTCAATAAATAAAAAATTGGATGAAAAATTGATGCAAAAATTACCTCTATATAGACAATAACATTTTTCTTTTAATATTTGGAGCAAAATTTTAATAAATATGCTCAACATATTTCAATGGTACATATAAAAAGCAAGAAACCATTTCTCATCGAGAAGTTGGGACCAAAATTCCATATATGCGTGTCGAAAAAAAGATGGCTAATAATATTTTTCATTTAATATTTTTAGAAGAAAAATTTTAATTATTATGCGGAACATATTTTATATTTAGTACAAACAGAAAAAGACTAATTTCTTGCAAGTTTGTCATAAGATTTAAATCTTAATATTGTAGACTTTGCATCAAAGTGCAACAAAAGATAATGACATCAGTAAATAACCTAAATATTATAATTGCTTATATATATTAATTTTATAATTATACAACAATAATATTTTTTTTTTAACTTTAGGAAAAATATTACTATCATGATTTATACAAAGATAAAAATACATCATCAAAAATATATTAATTTATTTCCAACGCGAATGATAATTTATTAATACATTCAATCTTCGCAACATCAATTTTTTATCTAAAAAAATCCGCGTTCAGATATAAAAAAGATGTCTTATTTCGAGCAATTTCACTATACCATATAACGAAAAGTATCAAGCTAGAACATTGATATTTCTGATCTTACGATTGTGTTTTTAGTCTCGTTTACAGCAAAACAAGGAGCGCAGAGTTTCTAGGAATAATGTTATTCCGCTACGATTTTTGTCTTAAGAGATTTCCGTATTCGGAACACGTAAAATTCCAAGGGAAGCGAACTATAAAGAATAGAGACGAAATTC